CCGAACTCAGGGTACCCACAGGTGATGCGGGGCTCATGGATTCCCTACACTTTGCACTCACTCACTGATACAAAGAAAGCACCTGAGCTGCCAAACCTCTCTCCTTCTCCCAGGTCTCTGAATTTCAACTTATTCTCCTTCTGAACCAGCAGACAATCTCTCCTTAACCACCTCTCTCAGGAATCAGTTACCATAGGGAAAAACACTCCCTGATGGATTGTGCCATCGCACCACCGACTCTCCTAAAGCCGGCTCTTTCTAGCCTCATTCACTTCTTTCTAGAAAAGAAGACTCTTTTCTGCTGACCTCTGAGATATTTGCAGATGTTATGGCCAGAGCACACTCCCTACATCAATAGTTCCTCTACCCTCATTGAAACCGTCCCTTTGAATAAAGTCTCTCTTTATCTAGTTCCAGGTTTGTTCTTATTTGACACCATGGACTGAAATCTTTACATCTGAGTTCTTGGATCTAGGCTTTTATTTCTGAAATTCCCTCAGGGTCATAAGCCCTGTCCTTGAATTCTGAGCTTGTAGCCAGCACCCACTTCACTAACACTTAATAGCAAGGCCAGCCACCGCCTCTGCTTGGGAAAACTGCAAAGTCCCTGTTTCCTGTCAGCCTCTGACTCCAAGGCCTGGGATGCTGCTACCTTACTTAATTTCTATAGTCTCAGTATATTCTTTATCCTGTGATAAACACTTATTAAGTCACGTGGATCAATTCACTAGGCTAACCTAGGCTCCCTCCTGCATCTTGTCGCTGTGGGTTTTCCTATAGTGTCTACCTCAGCCCAGCCAGTGGGTCTGATCTCATATTTTAGCTTCTCAGAGTCTTCTCAATTCCACTGTATCTCAAAATATATAAAAAAAAAATCATTGCAGCATTTATATTTTAAAATAATAAGGAAGTACTGAGTGAAGAATTTTTACAAAACCCGTGGAAGCCAAGATATATTGTAGGTTTTATAACATTAAAACAAATTATAAACAACATAATTGCTCTTCTTTAAAGAAATGTTTTTAAAAATTTCATCTATGTATATAATAAACCATTATAAAATATTTCATCAAGCGATCTAGATCTTAAAAAATCGATACAGTTAGATCTCAGAAAATATGTTGAGTTTAAACATTTTGGATTAAAATTCTCTAAGGATTAGAAATATCAAATTTCCAATAGAATGGCAGCAACTTTTTACTAATATCTGGCTTTTGGAATAATCTAAATTGAACTGTGATTATCTCTATATTAGGATGTTCACTACTTTCTACCATAGCAACTATCTCCTCAATAATTTCTGCATGCTTGGAATTTATTCATAAACTTTGCTGAAATAATTTAATTTGGAAGTGTGAGTAATATGAAGTAATTTGTACTCATGAGACATTGACTGTTTTTCCTTGAATATTTTTCTGATAACGAACGTTAATGTAAACTTGTGTGGCTAGATTATAGCTCACCTTATACACACATATGTCAACCACAGGATTGCAGAAGCAGAACCATAGGATAGAGCACTCCAAAATAGCCCAACAAAAACAAGGTATTGTTGTCTCTTTGCTAGAATGGTTCCCATGCAGATTCAGGTGTTTAAGAAATATGGTTAGTATACACTAGACAGAAGACTGCATCCTGTCCTTCATCTGGCACCTCAATAAGAGCAAGTCCTCTCTAAGTTGTCCTCCATGAAAAAAGGTGTTCAGAGTGGAGAGAGCACAGATGCCTGTCAGACTTGGCTGAATCAGGTTGTAACTGTACCACCGTCAAGCTTCTGACCACGGCCAAGTCACCTAAGAACTAGTTCTTATCTCCTTCACTGGTCAAATAGTCTGTCTTTTCTTTATAAAATTGTTATGCTGCAATGAGGTAACACATGTCAATGCACTTGGGAGGATGAAAGCAATATTCAATGAAAGTCACCATTAAAAACAGAGAACACGGCCATGCCAGCTTTGATTTCAATCCCTATGTTTCAGATAACAAGTGCCACCAACTCAAATTCAATTTCAGTTGAGAGCCCCTTATACAACCGTGGTAACTTCCTTCTGCACATAAAATGCATGTTATTTTATAAATCCAGAGTAAATTGCTATTAAAGACTTAATATGTGACAAGCCAAAAATGTTTCTAATTGTATGTAACTAAACCACAGGGGTTAGAGCAGATTTGAATCTGACTTCAAGCAGAAGTACATTGTCCTAGCAACTCAGAGACCCATGAAGGAGAAACTGATGTTTACTGAAATTCAATTCGATTTTGGGAAAGTGTGTTACGTAGTATTGTCACGGCAAAACTTTCCAAATACAAAAATTGGTATCAGAAGTGGGGTGCTGCCCTAACAAATACAGAAATTACATGGCATTGGCAGAGTGGCAAGCAATAGGTAAATGATATTGGACACTGACAAATGGTTATCTATGTTCTGCAATGACAAGGTATTTGCTCAAATTATTATCTCTAATAATCTAAAGTCAGAAAATGTTCTAATGGCCTGATCTGGTGGCACTGGACAAAGAGGTTGTAAGTCAGATTGTGATAGTTTGAGTTTATTGTTATTATTCTATCTGAAAATGTCCTTTAAGGAAGGTTTGATTTCATGAAAGAACTACAGAGTTTCAAGAGGAATTAGAGGGAATAGGTAGAATCTAGAAATTTCAGACCCTGAAGATTTGAAAAATAAAACTGTTCTCATTCATATTTACACTAATACATGGGGTTCAGCATACCTTCTCATCATGCTGAAGGCACTTTTAAGCAATGCTGCAAGACAGATTACAGAGCATCTGAAGGTTTTAATATATTCAGTGTGTATCAAATGGAGAGTCTCCTGGATATCCACTTCCCATATTGCTAGATATGTTACTTTTTCTTTCCATATTCACAGTAATTTTCCACTTCAGGAAGTAGCAATAAGAAGTTGTATTATATTAATTTATTGAGGGATAAATCCACTTTGATTCTGGTAACCCAGTTGCCAGTGGGCATACCATGATGGGTGTTTCCGGACGGCCCAGCTTCTCCCCGACTGAAAGTCAGACTGCATTATGTGTCTAACCTGGCAATATGTTAAGACTTTCTTTTAGTGTTGGTCTTTTATGAAAACATATAAACGGTTTTTTGTTTTCCCTTTGAAACTTATGAAGCCAAAATTTATAAAAATTTTCAAGGAACATTATATATGCTTGGTGATGAAGTGTCAAATATGGGGTGTTGATACAGCTTATAATACTTGAAGAAGGACTGAAGAGAGAATTTTGACATTAAGAAGAAACTAATCAGTCTATCTTGAAAAGAAAATATTACATTTAAAAATCAAAAGACACCACATGCTCATTAAAATAGCTGAAGTCTAGAAAGCTTACAATATGGGAAACAACAGTAGCTTTCATTTATTTCTGGTGAAAATGAAAAATGGTACAGCAACTTTGAAAAGTAGATTGGCAATTTGTTATAAAGTAAACATAGTCTTCCCATAGACTATAGCAATGGTGCAGCTATGTATTTACCCAACCAATTTGAAAAATGATGTCCCCACAAAAACCTGAACATAAATATTTATGGCATTTTCATTCACAATTGCTGAAAACTGAAAGCAATCAAAATGTCCTTCAATAAATGAATGGATAAATAATTTGTGGTAGATTTATACAATGAAATAATAATCAGTGATGAAAGGGAAATGAACTCTCAAGCCAAAAGAAAATGTAAATGAATCTAAACTGTGTATTGCTTAGTGAAAGAAGGCAATCTGAAAAGGCTGTATGATTCCAATTATATGGCATTCTGGGCAAGGCAAAACTATAATGACACTAAAAAGATCAGAGGTTTCCAGGGGTTCACAGGAAAAGGGGAAATAGGTAAAGCATAGAGGGATTTTTTTTCAGAGCAATAAAACCATTATGTATGATACCGTGATGGTAGATACATGACATTACACATCTGTGAAAACTCATAAAACTTTATAGCACAAAGAGTGAACTTTTATGTAGACAAAAGGTCAATTAGGAATTTGGAGGCTATCCACAGGAATGCAGTCTGTGACAAAATAATATAACTGTATTACAAATGCATGAAACAACTTCACTAAAGGGGAAGGGGGACACTATGAGGAGGACTGGAATATGTAAGACTAAGGACAAAAGAAACTGTACTTAAGCACTGTACTCTAGTTGATAGAGTAGTTACCTATGGAGGGGTAGATTAACAATTCTGATACCATTATACATGTGCACCATATGTACTAGAATTGAAAAATGAACTGAATGGACAGTGATTGGTAGGAGTCAGATTTATCACTGTTAGAGGAAGAGTTTACAGATAATCAAGACAATGAGTCTAGAATAATTCAGATAGTAATGGATTACATTTGGAGATGTTGAGACTCAGAAACCAATGCCCCAAAATGTGACATTTTGATGTGCTGAGTTAAAGAAGCCTCAAGGTTTCTCTGACCTTTCCCCTTCCCACTTTACCCCCAAAGAAATTAGATTTTCTTTATCTGCCTAAGATCCAGACCCACCAAAGAGAATAATTGCTTTTTCTTCCCCTCCCTGATCTTACAGGGAGGGGAAGACACCTGTACAAACCTGAACAGACGCTTTTACAAGATAATGGTTGTGTCCAAGGATTATTTGAATTCTAAAAATAGCAACTTACAAGTCAGTTTATGTTCCCCATCCAATTATTCTTCATAGCACTCATTTATTGCCCCTCAACAAAATGCTTCTCTCCTCTCCCATAACCAAGATCCAGGCCTCCATTATTTCTGTAACTTCAACATGGTATATAAACTTCTGTAACTCATTGAAGGGTTGGGATTTTTTTTTTTTGAAGGCTCCTGTGTATACACAATAAAAAAGTCTGTATACCTTTTCTCCTACTGATCAATCTACTTCATGTCAGTGATTTTTCAGCAAACTTTGACGCTTGACCCCCTTGTGGTCCTTGACCCTCACAGAGACATCAATATAAATTTGTAGTTAGCTTAATAGAGATGCATGGCTATGTATAGAAATGTTTATAGACTCCCTCCAGCCTCAGCCAAGCAGCATGGGGTGAACCTCAGTGCCCCAACACCTCCTTTCCAGCAGGCCAGTGGTTATGGCCAGCATGGCTACAGTACAGATTATGATGACTTGACCCAAGGGACAGCAGCAGGAGACTACACCAAAGGTGGCTATGGTGGACCATCGCAGGCACCAAAGAAGTCTGCAGGTTCTGGACTTGGCAAAGGAGTATCGGTGTCTTCAAGCACCACCGGTCTACCTGATATGACTGGTTCTGTCTACAATAATACCCAGACTTTTGACAAGCAGGGATTTCATGCAGGAACCCCTCCACCTTTCAGCCTGCCCTCCGCCTTGGGTTCCACTGGGCCCCTGGCCCCTGGAGCAGCCCCTGGCTATGCACCCCCACCATTCCTGCACATCTTACCAGCCCACCAGCAGCCCTACTCACAGCTGCTGCACCATCATCTTCCGCAGGATGCACAGAGTGGCTCGGGTCAGCCCAGGCAGCCCAGTTCCCTACAGCCCAAGTCTCAAGCCTCCAAACCTGCCTACGGCAACTCTCCATACTGGACAAACTAAACCCGAAGAGAGGGGTGGGTTGGAGCAAGGCTTACCCTGGGCAGGAGAGAACACATGAGCACATATATGGGAGCCCAGTGCCCTTTCCTAGAATTTGCAAGACTAACTGTGTCAGCCGTGCCTCTGTGGGGAGCCTGCCTCCCAGACTGGCTATTGTATGTAATGTATTTATGTATGTATTTGTAAATGTGATAGAAGTCTAGGACAGTGGAGGGGATGGCTGCAGATGTTAGCCAGGTCTGCTCTCCCCATTCAAGCCCCTTTTCTGCTGTAGCAAAATAAGCCTCTCCACCCCATCTGCCTTCAGGCCTTCTTCATAGCTGCTGCTGCCCAGTGGGCCATTGGGGCAGTCTCTGGAAGGCTGGTTCAAGGCCATTTGGGTATAGGGGTCAGGTACCAATGAAGAATCACGACTTATCTCACTCCTTTGGAAACTATTATTTTAGTTTTCTTTCCTGTGTAATTCATACCTCTATTTCTGAGAAACTGTTCCTTTTGTCATCTGTCATGGTCCCCTTCCACCAAATCTTGGGAATAGTAGTGATATCCCTCCACCCAACACAAATATGGGCACCTGTTTTTCTTCATATATAACAGGGGCTTCTGGTCTGGTCATATCCCTAGAGACTTACTAGAGACTGGCTGACCATTTTAAAAATAATAATCATCTGAGTTGTTCAGCCATTCAGCTCCCCTTTAAAAATCAAAGATATGTCCAAGCAACGCATCTCTCTTCCAGTTGTCTTGAACCAGGTGGGAAGCTGTTTCAGGGGTTTTCTCTTGCCCAATCCCCACCTAATAAAGTTCTGAGAGCAAAAAACAAACAAACAAAAAAAAGAAATGTTTATAGACGTGTACTTCTGGGGCTAGTGTACACATATATTCCCTTGATCTGTCAGCTGAGAGGACCTAGAAACAGACACTCTTGTAGAAAAGAGCACACCAAGCTTTAAGATCTTGGTTTTTAATGCTATTCAACAAGTAAGGAACAAGGACTACTTGGAGAAATGGCTTATTCTAAGACTGGGAAGAACATATACAAGATGACACATCTTATTGTGTCAAACAGTGATGGAATGTTATGGACTGAATGGTTGTGTGTCCCCAAAATACTATGTTAAAATTCTAACTCCTAATGTGATGACATTAGAATGTAAAAGGTAGGCTATCCTCTGGAAAGTGATTAAATCATGACGATAGAGGCATCATTGAAACTGCCTTTGCAAAAATTATAATAAAAGCAATCTAGCCTAACTGACTTCTCCTTGCTTCTAATATCATAAGCTAACTACAACTGTTTTTGTTAAATTTATAACAAATATAATAATAGTTTCTTCCTGAAACTGACCCTCTCCTTACTGGGGACTAAAACAACCATTGTAAGACTAAGATAAGGTTACAAGGTTAGAATTATGGGAGGGGCCTGAAATCTGCTAAAATGTAGGCATAAACATTAATCAGCTATTGTTTCCTAGCTTGCCTTTTTACAATAATTTCCCTGATTGCTCCTATAGATCACATCACTATTGTATAAACCCAAGACTGGTCTTTGACATATTTTTCAGACTTTTGCATTCTGGCAGCCAACTGATTCCAATGGGAGCCATGACTCATACATATAAACCGACTCAGCTGATGACCCCCAGCTCCATAGGAACTGACTTGGCACATGAAAATGGTTTGTATACTCCTATGGTTTCATCTGCAACCAATCAGTACTGCCAAGTTCCTAGACCTCTACCCATCAAATTATCCTTAATCTTGGCCTCCACGTTCTTGGGGCGGAGTATTTGAAAAATGTCTCTCATCCTTCTGCTTTGCTGGACCTGTAATTGTTAAACTCTTTCCTTACTGCAAAACCTGCTGTCTCAGTGCATTGGCTTTTCTGGGCAACAGGCAAGAAGAACCCATCAGTCTGTTACAACAGTAATAGTGCCCTTATACAAGAAACCCTAAAAAGTTCTCTATTTTTTTTTTTTTGTCATAAGAGTATATAATAAGAAGAAAGCAGTCTGCAGCCTGGAACCGGGTCCTCACCAGAACCCAACTATGCTGGTACCCTGAACTTAGACTTCTGAGCCTCCAAAAGTATGAGAAATAAGTTTCTGTTGTTTATAAGCCACTCAGTCTATGGTAATTTGTAACAGAACCCTGAAAGGACTAAGATATGGAGAGATGTAAAAATTTCAACTAAAAGAACTCCCAATGTCTAAAATGCAAAAAATTTGAACAGTAAAATAAATAAAATAGTATTGATATATACAACGAGTAGTGATATATCTGTGTGATTTAAAGGAAGAATTGAACAAATAATAAAGGAAAGGAAAGCAAAAAATCTCAGTTGCAAAATAATCCCAAGTTATTTATATAGATATTGTTTTCTGAAGAAGTTGTATCACAAATCTCCACTCCTTAGGTATAGGGTCTCCCAAAGAGTCTAGATACAAAAAAGTGTCTAGACTTTCAAGAGTCTAGCATTGTAGAGTCTACACAATACAGACAGCAAAAAGTGTACTTCACATTGGGGAAATCTAACAAACACTTCCCCAGCTAGCCAACTTCAATATCAAAAGTGTTAAGTCATGTTGATATATGTACCTTGATACAGTGTGATGAAAATATCACATTACTTCTGTGGTCTTCCTACTAGAAGACCATAATCCCTGGATAATCATGAGAGAGCATCAGACAAGTCCAGTAGAGGGACATTCTATAGATTACCTTACCCATACTCCTCAAATAATCAATGTCATCCAAAACAAAGGAAATCTACAAAACTATCACAGCCAATAGGAGTCTAATGAGACATGACTACTAGATATAACAAGATATCCTTGATGGGATCCATGGACAGAAAAAGGACATTAAATAAAAACTGAGGAAATATAAAATATGTATAAATTTTAGTTAATAACAATGTGTAAATAATGATCCATTCATTATAACAATGATATTATACTAATGTAACATATTAATGGTAGGAGAAACTGGGTGTCAACCATGTGGGAACTCTCTATGCTATGCTTATACTTTCTCTGTAAACCTAAAACTGTTCTAAAACAGAAAGTTTGTTTAAAAATGTATTCACAAAATGGGTCTCTCATTTTGTTAACACTTCCAAAATTATAGTAAAGTGATAGAAGCAAAACAAATGTTCTCAGATTTTGGTAAGGAGGATAAATTTAGTGAAATGCACAGTGAAAAATGCTGAGGCACAGGAAACTTACCCCAGGAACTCACTGGCCATAACGTCAATCTCTCCAGAGGACAAAAGGAAAGGAGGGAGAGAAGTCACAAATGTTTCAGGACAAATGCTTGCAAGAATCATTAAAGAATCCAGAAAAATGATTGCTGTTACAAATGAGTTTGACCATGATTTGAACAAAAACATCACATTAAAGATACAATTTCAAGTACAGTTGTGTTCTCAGGAATTGTACATTCACAAACAGAGGGAATGCAAACACATACTGTTACGTGCTGAATTGTGTCCCTTAAAAAGATGTCGAAGTTCTGATCCCCACTACCTGTGAGTATTTGGAAGTAGGGCCTTTGCAAACGATTGAGTTAATGTGAGATCATTAGGATGGGCCCAGATATAATATGACTAATGTCCTTATAAAAGGGAAATTTGGATTCAGAGAAAGACACAATGTGTGAAGCTCAGTTAGGCTGCCCAAGCCACAGAACCCCAAAGATTTCCAGCAACCCTCAGAAGCCAGGAGAGAGCCAGAGGCAACATACTCCATCATAGCCTCAGAAGGGACCAACCCTGCCAACACCTTAATTTCAGACTTCCAAGGCTCCAGAGCTGTTAGACCATAAACTGGTGTTATTTAAGCCACTCAGTTGGTGGTACTTTGTTACGGCAGCCCTGGTGAATTAGCACACATGGCTGGCTGTTTCCTTCCTTCCTTCTTTCCTTCCTTCCTTCCTTCCTTCCTTCCTTCCTTCTTTCCTTCCTTCCTTCCTTCCTTCTTTCCTTCCTCCCTCCCTTCCTTCCTTCCTTCCTTCCTTCCTTCCTTCCTTCCTTCTTTTTCTTTTTTCTCTTTTCTCTTTCTTTTTCTTTCTTTTTCTCTTTGTTCCTCATCCTTCTTTCTTTCTCTCTTTCTCTCCTCTTTCTTTCTTTCTTTCTTTCTTTCTTTCTTTCTTTCTTTCTTCTCTTTCTTTCTTTCTTCTCTCTCTGTCTTCTTCTTAATGTTTTATCAATTGCATGCCTCCTGAATATTCACTTCTAGGGCATCATATATGAAGAAGAGAGACCACCTATCATTTCTGTGAATTTAGATGTGGACAAGCCTCAAGTCATGGACACTCTCTCTTTCACCTGCTTACTCTTGTTGACATTCACCATCCACCAAACAGCAACAGTGACTCCTGTCCCTTTCTCCAACAAACCCCAATCAATAAACACTTGTATTCATAGAAAATCTCTCCTTTAGTATTTCCTTGTTTGTGTATTTAACTTTGCAAAGTCTTTTTGTATTAATTATGTATGTTTAACATACTGTTTTATTATTTTTGTTACATTACATGTTTATTTCAGTGTAGAAGGAAAATATAATTAGCATATTGCTCTTTATAGTATCATTGAACACTGCAAACAAATACATAATCTAATGAGTTCATTAAGTGTTAAATAGCTAGGTACTTAATATTTAAAATTATTTATATTGTGGAGAAAGTGAAAGCTTTTTTAAAAAAAAATTTAAATGGTGTTAGTTTTGGTTATGCTGTGTTATAGTATTTTTGTCCCATTGTGGCTACACTGCTCTCCAACATGAGTCATATGAATCATTAGATCCAATGCCACTCAAAGGATCTGTGACAAACAGGGCTGCTGAACAGGGACTAAGGTCCACTTCAACCAATGACTCAAAGCACAGAACTTCAGGTTTCCAAACCAAAACTAAAACTTTAGGTAAACATTCTGTTTTTTATGCACATCTTTCAACTTGCTACTGAACCCTTATAGTCTCCAAGCCATAGAATTCAGTGTGAGCAGCAGAAAAACCATCATCAGGTAGAAACGCATGCAAGATACAGGGTTCCGTAGAGTCCTGAAAGCACAAGTGAGCAGCATGACCATTTGGCGCAGATCCCATGGAACTCACTTCTTCCCTTGCTCCTGTGCCTCAACTCACACTATGAACTCATGCAGAGTTCCCTATGGATTAGTTGACTGAGGAAGAAAAACAATACTCAGGCTTTGTGTATAGATCATTTTTACAATGTAGTGGCGACAACAAATGGTTGACAGCTACAACATTATGGCATCATACAGGGCTGTCCATAAATGTGACAGGTGAGGGGAAATCATCCCAGTAGCCAAATTTTGAGCAATAAAATTTGTTGTCCACATTTTCCAGACTAAAAGACAGAAGAGAAACAGCTGTATATTGATTTACGGGCTATGGTTAATGGGTTGGTTGTATGGTCAGAAACATGGAATGAACAGAACAGTCTTTGGGGTTGAAAGGCAGGGTAACAGGTACATTGAAGGATCTTTTGTGATAGGCACAGGCTGTGGAGATGTTTACAAGCCATATGAATGCCTACCAGAGGGCATCTCTGCAGAGGAGGAGGCTTTTAGAACCAGGCAAGCTGTCTGTTCACTGGCCTCCTTCCTCAGCCATACCAGTGCCAGCCTAAAGGGCAAAATGTCTGGTATGAGACCATGCATGGGGTCAACAACATGGAATTCCCCCCATCAACATGGATCTGGCTCCTGTGGCTGTTGCATTACATTCTGACAGGAGCTCCATCCCCTGGCATGGCCATCTTTCCTTGATGGGCCATCCAAGTACCTTGCTCC